AGTCTGCTATATGTTATAAAAATTTATTTACATTACAATCTATTAGAAATTTCTTTACTTTTTGGCCAAATATCAGCAACTGCACCAAATGGCATATTTTTGCTCAGTTTGGATCTCTGAATAAACGGAGGTGTTTTCCTCCTCGAATAGGAGCCCTTTATTCTCCTATATCATACTTTATGAGCCATAAAAGCCTAATGTATCAATATGATACTCAACAACGATCCAATAATAGAATCAGCTGGAAAAATCAAGTCCCGCAGTTCATTTTTCTACTTCAAGAAGCACGATATACGTCACAATAGAGAAGAAAAGACAATCGCAACATCCTTTTCATGTCGACATTAATGATACCATGCGCCAGGAGGAGGAATTAGCCTCTTTTGTCGCTATTTTATTCTAATTCTTTTAATCACATCTCCTGATTTAACCAACACCAAAGCCAAATCCAGCACCATCTTCGAGATATAAATACCTATTTCACTTCTTTTGAACTGATGCCTTGAAGTCCGCTGGTGATTTTCACTGGGGATGAGACTGAGAGATGAAGATCTAAATAGGCTTTTCTCAGATTAAAGTATCTTCAGCCAAATCCAACATGACGACTACAAATCAACACCGGAGTCTAAAAGCAAACATTAGCTTAATCTGTTGCTTAAACCATCTTCTGACCCATTAAGAAGCTTTAAATTTGGCTCAAAGTGATAAATGAAGTTTTCAGAAATCCATCCATCATAAATGCAGCTGATAATAAAATGACTCCAGGTAAAGCTCAAACAAAAATCATTTATTTTTCCACTTGAGAGAACATTGTGAAGCCAAACAAAGAAAGACACTCAGCTCTCACATCCACAGCTAAGAACACAGGGTGGTGTGCTAATTTAAACCATAAATCTCAATGGCATGGCAGGGGATCAGTAGATAGATGTACAATATTCACAGGGGAATATTTTGCCTGGCTCTTATATCATTACATGACTCACCAAACATCTGCTCTAATGTATCATATTATGGAGTACAAGCTTAGATAGAGACATTCAAAGTCTTTTAAAAGCCAAGGACGAACAAAAGATGAGTGATGTGCCTATGAGACAATTCTAATCTGCCAGTAATCTTACCCAAGCACAAAGACGTGTTGCTTGCAGAAAACTGATCGAAGACAAATGCGAAATAGGGATAGAAAGCAAATTCAACAGTAGATCAGTGCAAGAACAGATCGAACAAAAGAGACAGCAAATGTAATGTAAAATTGTCACAAAGAGGATTACAGATAAACTGCATGAAATTTCTGTCCTCTTGTGAATAGTATAGTAAGATTTAATTCTCTGCATTAAAAAGTTACTGCAACGGATATCTGAAAAGCATTTTTCAGCAAATGTAGTAGCCTATGAATTAAACAGCATAAATTTCTCTGTCTTCAAAGAAATATATTTTTTATTCATTAATAAATGCATAGTAGAGAGACTGACTGACTTAGAATGCTTTAGAAAATGAATTTAACACTTATGGTCTCATTGTTTAATATGGCCAGCTTCAGAAAGTCTTAAGTGTTGCTGCATGCAGAAACTATGACTGCTGGGCAGAGCAGCAGTGAAATGGATTTATAATCGACTTTCTCCTGCTCTCCCACTCACCTCTCTCTACGTGTCTCTTTCCGGTCTCCCCGCTCTGGCCTATCATCATGCGTTCTTCTCTCTGCAATATTCAAATCCATTTATTCTTTGCATCACATCATCTCATTCTTTCTCACTATATCTCTCCTTCGAGCTTCATCTTCCACTCTCCCACAAATCAAAGACAGAAATGTCTCAATTAGACATGGATCTCTGAGGGGCACTGCTGCTTCCTTCATCCATCTATTATTACATAATAGTCATCACTATGGAAAACAGCACTTGGCTTTCATACAACTTCACGTTTTTCACATTGTTTCCTCCCCACCCATTATTTTAACATCCCTTCGTGTGTTGGGGCAATGTTTCACAGATGAGGACATTTCCTGATGTGACAACTTTTTTCAAAAAAAAATGTTCCTTACATAATCATGCTTTCTTGTTTGTGGAAAAAAAGCTTTGTTTTTCATAAATGTTTCATAATGGACAGGTGGTTGGGACAATGACCAGCCTTCTAATACATCAATTATCTATGGCACATTAGGGGTGTTTAGCAAATCATCAATAAAAGCTTTAATAAAGTCTTCATGTTTTTCCTCAGTAAAAGCTCTGTTCTTAATAAAAAAAAATAGATGTTTATATTATATTAAATTTACACTGCAAAGTCCCACTCTGCTCAAACAGGAAATCTGCCACTAAATAAATAAATAACCTAATAAAGATACAAAATGTTATATATTTCCATCCAAGGGTCTGAAACATTAAAGAGGTAAACAGAATGTTTTCAGTTAATTGTATTTAAGTCTTTTAAACATGCCCTTTGAATTTGTATTTCACGAGATCGCCTGCCCATTCAGTCCTGATGGTTAATGGTAAACAAACTTGGCTTGCTGTCCTTAATAGAGGCTCGAACCCGAGGCTCGGCTTGAGCGCCGAGTTCAACCCTCCATTACACTTTACTATTGATTATCTTACTATTGGTTATTTTGATTACCTATACATATTTTTTTATTTTGTATTTATTTATATATTTATTTATAAGTATCAAATATGAATGTACAGGCCTTGAGGAACGTTTATTTGTTATATCTCTCAAATGTGGCATTACATGCTTTGCCCCTACAATAAAAACTACAGAGCTTTGCTCAAAGCATTTATATATCATCTCAATAAGATATACATTATTAATATACTGTATATAGTGGTTGTGATAGTGACATATGTAGGGAGATATAGCCTAGCGACAACTATTTATATGCATTGTGTGTTAAGTAGTCTGCTTTACAGTTTTAAAGATCTCATTGATTTACATTACAAGCAGAATTTCATACATCTTTTTGGCCATATAAAATAATTGCATCAAATTGCAGATTTTTGCTTCGTTGGGGCTTCTGAATGTAATTAAGTTTTATTTTACCTTAAGTGTGAGCTATATATTATCACTACTATAAGACATCAAATCCATGTATCAATTATAATACAAAACAAACAAATATGTGCAGAAATGTGTTTTATTATTAGAGTGGTGGTTTTGTAGGCAAACATCAATGCCTTGAATTTTATGTGAGCAGCTACTGGTAGCCAGTGCAAATTGATAAACAGAGGTTTGATGTGCGTTCTTTTCGGCTCATTAAAAATGAATCTCGCTACCACGTTCTGGATTAATTTTAAAGGTTTGATAGATCTGGCTGGAAGACCTGCCAAGAGAGCATTACAATAGTCCAGCCTGGACAGAACAAGAGCTTGAACAAGGAGTTGTGAAGCATGTTCTGAAAGAAAGGG